AGCCGCCCGAAACTCTTTTATGCGGCTTTGCTTCGACGGTTATATCAACAGTTGGTCATGGCGGGTTGTTTGGTTACCCGTCGCTGGAGTAAGGGAAGAAAGGGTATCGAAGGCAAACAAGACGGGGCACGTGGTGGTGGCACATTCCTACCCTGACATGCATACAAAAAACGGATTAATAAAGAAATCTCTGCGTGAGACTATTCTACACCTCTCAGCAATGATCTGTAGGTCGACGGTCCCTAAGAAATGAACTAACAAATTTTAGCGTGCGGTGCACAAAGAAGTTATGATCGTATAGAGCATAGATCTGCTCCATGGTCAGACGCGAGATGGATCCAACAGGTCCTACTTTTATAGGTTAGTCAGCCTGGACCAGACTCGCCGTAGTCTTCGCCGGTTGCAACTTTACCTTCACCCAGGGCCGTGGCGACTCTTGCTCCATCTGCGCTGCACTGGCCGATCCACCGGTGATTCTCCAATCACTGTCGACCGGGGTGGGCTTCTCTCAAACCTATCAACGGCCCGTGTTCTGTCTCCCGCTTTAGGTCCGTTGGGAGTGGTACCTTTTCCCTGATGTTAGTATGCAAGTGTGTGCACTATGTATAGTATTATGTACGTAATATTCATTGATACGAGTCATGGTACAGTCCCGTAAAGTTTCAGATACCCAGGTGAGTGATTCAGTGGGTTGGAATTTACCACCGAGGGCTCTTTGCGGTGCTATATGTAAACCAGCAGAGAATTGACCTATGTGTCGATGATTTTCATCCCATGGGGCATCAGCGAAAGGGTATGGTAGCGGATGGCACTTAGGCATCATTGGCCTGCAATACCATTCAGGTGATTTTTCCGTGGTTGCCACAGTACGAGCTGGGCGGCTTCAGCCGAATGAATGTATTTTACAAATACCGCCCGATACGATTGTCGGGTTTACCAAAAAAAGAAAAAGAAAAAAAAAAGAATCATCGAGTATGATTGTGTGATAGGAGCTTTATCTCTCTCTCGACCATCGTTTCCTTTTTTTTTTTTTTTTTTTTTTTCTCTTTTTTATTTTTCATGTCCTCTGCCTAGTAGAGGAATTGGATGCTTATATAGGCCCCAAGTTTCCTCATCTTCTTCGCCTCGTCGCCTTTCTTCACCTCTCTTCTTTCCATACTTCTCTCTCTCTCCCCCCCCACACTTCCAATCCAGATCTTCAATCCCCAGACCGATAGCTCTCACAGCTTGGTCTACCTGTTTCCAATCTATCTTTGCGATCTAGGGAACACAGATACTCCATATCTAACTTCCCTATACTATCAGAGCAAACCAAAACAGCCGGCCAAAGCTATCTGTCTCAAATTCCCTTCTGATCTATATACCATTTACACTTGTTGTCTACACCAAATTTCCATCATCAACGTGACAGAATACCGTCACGACTTCAGCTACCCGATAGTAGCAGCTGTCCAACAGGTATACACGAATACTCGATCAGAAGTTCCGGACAGAAAAACACACCCGGCCTTTCTCTCAGCATCACCGTCCCTTAGCGCCAACTGATGAAACCCTGAACGACGTATAGCCTATTTGAACAGCCATTGCGCCTTGCCATCTCGGCCCTTGAGCGCCATTTCTTGCCCCGGACTGCGTCACCAGAAGCCCTACCGATCCCGATCCCGAGAGATCTTGCCTTTGCGACTATAGTAGACTTAGCCCCCATTGAACGGCTTGCCAATTGACTACCCAGATCCCGGACGGTAGACGACCACCACCCTCCGGTCTCGAGAAGTTTCCCAGAGCGCGCCAGCCCATCTGTCCAAAGCAGCAAACGAACCGGCATCATGTTCTTCAACCCATTTAAAAAACACGACCACGACTTCCCCGATGTGGTCGTGCCCCTCGGCAGTGCCCCAGCGCATTCCCACCCGAACCCGGCGTTACATACAAAGGATTCTGGCCCCGACGAGAAATCTGACGCCCGAAGCGATAAAGCTCCCTCCGAGGAGAATGGAGTCGCTACCTCGCTCTCCGACAATGCCCACTTGACCATTGAAAGCCTACGCGCCGAAGTCGAATCAGACATTGTCGCTTCCGGCCATGACTCCGCTTATGACCGTATGTGCCTATGTTTTTGCCCATGAAATAACCTCTTGCCCCTTATCCAAAAAAAAAGAAGAAGAAAAGAACAAAGTCCCGTATAACCCCGTTTGAGATGCGGATCTGATAGTTGTCCACAGGCAAAGCAAAGGTTATCAACAGAGCCATCCAGGATATCGGCATGGGCCGTTATCAGTGGGAGCTGTTTGCCCTCTGTGGATGTGGTTGGTTGGCAGACAAGTAAGCGAATATTTATTTCCCTGTCTTGATAGTTGAATTTGTGGCTAACAATCCTTTGGTTAGTCTCTGGTTGCAGGTAAGAAACTGGGCGATGCTTTATTGATGTTCCCATGGCATGTACTAAGGTTATGTAGGGTGTTGCCCTAACATTGACTCAACTGTCGGCGGAGTTCGGTGTCTCTGAAAGTCGTGTCCGTTTCACCACCTGCGCGTTGTTCTTGGGTCTCTGCCTGGGTGCTTCGTTCTGGGGTGTTGCATCGGATATTATTGGACGTCGTCCTGCTTTCAACCTGACTCTCCTCATCACCAGTGTGTTCGGTCTGGCCGCCGGAGGTGGCCCCAACTGGGTCGGGTATGTCCTTTCATCCTGCTCCCAATGATGAAAAACTGCTGACGGATAAATCAGTGTCTGTGCCCTATTCGCCTGCTTGGGTCTCGGTGTTGGTGGAAATCTTCCAGTTGATGGCGCTCTCTTTTTGGAGTTTCTCCCTTTCGCCTCTGGCAACCTCTTGACCATGCTGAGTGTCTGGTGGCCCATTGGCAACCTTATCTCCAGGTATGCTCGACCGTCTATTGATACGTGACAAATTAGACTAACAGCCGACGAAGTCTGCTCGCATGGGCATACATTCCAACCTACTCTTGCGCTAGCGACCTGCCTGCCTGCAACAGCGTTGCCGATGGTGTCCAGTGCTGCACAAAGCAGGACAACATGGGCTGGAGATACCTGGTCCTCACCCTAGGTGCGCTGACCTTTGCCATGTTCTTCTGCCGCTTCTTCCTCTTCCACCTCTACGAGTCCCCCAAGTACTTGCTCTCTCGTGGTCGTCAGGCCGAGGCTGTCCATGCTGTCCACGGCATCGCCCACAAGAACAAGAAGCAGACTTGGCTCACCGAGGACATCCTCAACGAGATCGGCGGCTACCCGGAACAAGTCGAAAAGCAGACTCTCACCTTCAAGGAGATCATTGTGCGATACCTTTCCAAGTTCTCCCTGGAGCGTATCAAGCCTCTATTCGGCACCAAGAAGCTGGGTATCAACAGTACGTCTCACTTCCAACTAACTCCCCACCGCACGCACACTAACATGAAACCCCACAGCCGTGCTCCTCTGGTTCTGCTGGGCCACCATCGGAATGGGCTACCCGCTCTTCAACGCCTTCCTGCCCCAATACCTCAAACAGGCTGGCGGCGGCGCCGAACAATCCACCTACATCGTCTACCGCAACTACGCCATCACCTCCATTGTCGGCGTCCCGGGCTCCGTCCTGGCCTGCTTCACCGTCGACATCAAATACGTCGGCCGCAAGGGCACAATGATCATCTCCACCATGATCACCGGCGTGCTTCTGTTCTGCTTCACCGCCACCACCGACCCCAACATCCAGCTCCTCTGCTCCTCCCTCGAGGCCTTCTTCCAAAACATCATGTACGGCGTCCTCTACGCCTACACCCCAGAGGTCTTCCCGGCCCCCAACCGCGGCACCGGCACCGGCATCGCCAGCTGTCTCAACCGGATTGCAGGCCTCTGCGCCCCCTCGTCGCCATCTACAGCGGCTCCGCAAACCCCAACGCCCCCATCTACGCCTCCGGCGCCCTCATGCTGGCCTCCTTCGTCGCCATGTGTCTCTTCCCCATCGAAACGAGAGGAAAACAGACCCTCTAGACTCTCTGTCATCCTTCTCCCTCCCCTCTCATCTTTACTTTTCCCGTGTCGATGTAGGATATAAAAATTGCTTTTATGTGCATGATACCACTTTTTTTTCAACTCCCCCTCAGGTAGAATCCGAGGATTCACCTCGCTATACATATACATATACATATACATATACATACCCTTTTTTCGTGTATACATTGGTTTCGATTCATGTTGATTGATGTTATGGTGAACGACACATGAATGATTGCTATGCTATATACCTGCATCCCAAACCGAAAATCAATGTATATATACCCCGTTATATACAGATCCTCAATACTCATATACCCTTGTGCATGGCCATGTAGTTGGCCGGGATGTATTGGATACCAGGTTTTTTCTATCTCTTCTTTTTTTACGTTTTTCCAACTTTTCAAGTCCTTTGGCACTAAGTGGTCGAATGTTTAATTCTCTTAAATAGATAATGGAAAATTACATTAAAGGTCAGGTTTATTGATTGTGAGATATAGTACTTGTCCTTGCCGGACGGGTGAAATGTCTGCTCTGCTGCCTTAGGGCTACGGTGACAAGTGACGAGGAATTGTTTCAGCATTTTTGAATACATCAGATATCTAGATGCGTGTCTCTGTTACTTCTGTACTGTACAACATCAAGGGGAGTTTACGTGTAAATGAGACCAAACAATTACAAAAGCTGGCCAATGTAACATGCGGACTTCTTTGAAATGCAAGTAATCCCTATATCCCGGATTCTCCATATGCCACAAAATAATGAAAAGTGCGCAACAGAACATAAAACAGTAACGTAGATATCCCCGTAGAGAAACCCAATCAAGACCCATAACAAATGCTTTGCCCGAACCTGAATAATCCAGAAAAAAAAATAAGAAAAATAAAATAGAACCCTAGGGAATAACACCCGAGACAAATGCGACCCTGCCACCCAATGATCATGGAATAGAATTCATGGCCCATCGTTCCTAGTCGTAATAATTCATTCCGGAGGAGGTATAAAGACTTTAGACAACCTGGTGCCGTCTACCTCTCCTCTCTAACAATGTCGCGTTATCCAGACTGAGTTCGAAAGGTTGCCGCGACGCCCGAGCGATATTCTGCTTCGCTGCCGCCGCCACCTTAGCACTGTGTGTGCCGTAGCCCTGCTGCGGCTGTCGAGGCTGGTATGCCTGTCGTGCTTGGGCGGCAGCGCTCGGCTGAGTACCCAGATTTGTGGATCGTAATTTGGCTTCCATTGCAGCCACTTCTCGAGCCTGTTGAGAGTTCTTGTGGACCTTCGGCGCCGCATATTCATTCTGGTGAATGGGCTGGTATGTGACTTGGGGGACATCCTCGTCATAATCCTCGTTGAGTGGATTCAGAGCCGACTGGAACCCGGTGGTCGGGTTGGCCCCGCGGCCGCGGGATGTCTTCAGCCGCTTACTTTCTTCTTCTTGACGATGGACGGCGTAGCCGACATCGAAGACCTCGCGCAAATTGATCGCCCCCGGCGACCGGAAGTCCATGGGGCGTTCCAAGCCGGCAGAGGGTTGGTCCGACAGTCGAGCACTGGCTGGGGCATATGGTGCCTGGTCCGCCGCGAAGGCGTCCAACGGCTGTTGACGGGCGGAAGGCAGAGGAGTCGTCAGGGGGGAGCGTCTGTGGCCGCCTGGGTTTCTTCGTCGCTTCCACGTATCCACGGGTGGGCCAAGAACTCTTTAATTGAATATCGTTGTTCAGGATCCACCGTCAGAAGATGGGAAATCAGATCCTTTGCAGACTTCGAGATGTCATCCCACCACGGCGACAGGAAGGTGTACTGGCCGCGCGCCACCTTCTCCGTTAGGACTTGGATGCTCTCGTCGTAGAAAGGCGGAAAACCACAGAGGAGAGTGTAAAGCACACAGCCCAGAGCCCACATATCGACACTCTTCGAGTATCTTTCATCCTTGACGATCTCCGGGGCTGTGTAACCAACAGTCCCACAAGGAGTCATAGTTTGACTATCCCAGATGACTTTGGAGAGACCGAAATCGGCAATTTTAATGACACCAATCCCGCCGGACCCCTTTCCGGGGGTGAACTCCCCTTCATCGACTTTGTCCTCATCACCGGGTTGAAGAGGCTTGGGGTTCTTGCTTGGAACGAATGGAATAGGATAGAACAAGAGATTCTCCGGCTTAATATCACTAGAGACGCTGTTAGCCACTGGTCATGCTGTCTCAAGGCATCGGGAGAATCGTACCGATGGACGACGCCGGAAGTCTCGTGCAGATACTCAATTGCTTTTGCAACTTGAGTGATGACATGTCGACTTAGGTCCTCGCTGAAGTAGGTTAACCGTACGATTTGATGGAATAATTCGCCGCCAGGGCAGAGTTCCAGAATGATATAGTAATATTGGCGTGATTCAGAAAAGGAGATCAACTTGACGATGTTCGGATGGTCTATTTGGCGCATGATTTGAACTTCTTTCAAAATGTTGGCGCGCTGTGAATCGTAATCAGCAACTCTACCCTATAAGAATTTGCTCGGTAAGAAACAGAAAACACGAAGGAGAATCGAGACGCAACAGGAAATAAGAAAATTTCATGTCAGTATGGTGTGGCTAAGAGATTTGCGCACCTCTGTAACCTTGGTGTGTTTGACCTCGGGATGCAGATGGGCGGCGGACTAAGAGAGACGGCGAATGGTTCGGTTTAAGCGCACAGAAAGAGAGAACGAGTATAACTCTGAGCAGATGAGGGTGAATGGGAAAGAGGAGGGAGGTGGCATTGGGAGAACAACAAGGGATTCAGTTCAGATCAGCCTACCTGATTGCTATTCATTTCAAACTTGCGGACGACTTTAATGGCTACTTCATTATGCTCCCCCGTAGAATCTTTGGCGCGATAGACGTTACTAAAGGCGCCGTCGCCCATCTTGTCCGTCAAGATCCAGCGCTCCAGTCCTGGATACTTGGGCATTTTGTTTCGTTGGCTTCTCTCCTCGGCGACAATCTGCTCGATCTCCAAATCACGGACTCGCTTCGTCTGAGAGTCCGCTGCCGACTTTTGCGGTGCTTGAGCTTGACCGTTCCCAAGCCTGCTGTCAATTGCATCTAGGTTACCTGCGGCAGGAGGGTACGAGCCTTGGGGTTGGCGTTGATGCTCGGCATGTATGGGCGAAACATTGGTGGTTGGCTCGGCATGGGGAGTTACCAAGCGGGCTTGTTTCCCATGACGTATGAAATTCTTCAAATTTTGAATGGTACTCATAGTGCTGAGTAATCCGGCCCTGTCCAAAAAAGATAGAAAAGAGAAGAAAAGGGAGAAAAGAAGTAAGGGCGTGGGGGTGGAAAGAGGAGAGGCGGGCGTCGGGGAAGGAGGACACAAGTTAAAGGAATGGGAAATCGGACAAGGGAGGCAAAAAAATAATGATGATGAGAGAATATCGGGTCGAATGACGTTGGTGATGATGGTAGTTTCGGCCGGTGGGGGAATTAGGATGTTCGTATTTTCCTCACTTCCGTAGTGAAATTTTTAGCCTTTCCTCTTTTCCGTTCCTCTCTTAAATTAAATTTGAAGAAATTCTCTTATTTTTTTTCTTTTCCTTTGTTTTTTCAAGTTTCCTTTTCCTACCCCGCTGAAAGTCTGGGCTGGCGTCAGTGGGTAACAAAAAGGGCAAACAACTTCTGGTACTAAACGTTTTCCAGTGGTCAGAGTATATCCCCGGAATGAGTGATAAATTAAAACAGAATGTTTGAGGAAAGATCAAGCGAGGAAGTAGACGGGGGGAAAGAAAAAGAAAAAGAAAAAGAATCCGTAAAGGATTCCCCAAGCAGTGTAGTACTAAGTAGTCAAGGGAATGGGGCACTTAATTCTAAAATGCGACGACGGAGTAGGGAAGCGAATTGATGAGGGAATCAGAGGACAGGAATCAATGGTGGGGAAAAGCAGGCTGAAGTTGAAGTATCTTCTTCTTTAATAAAAGAGATCAGATGAGACGATGCCAGAGATCCCAAAGAAGGGCCCGATTCGTGACCTACCTCATCGGCGGTGATCATAATTCAATTGAGAAATCAAACCGGGAATTCCTGTTCGATCCTTTTCTTTTCCTTCTTCTGTATTGTTCGCTTTTCTCGTCATTATGAAGGGAATGTTCAACGATGACGTCGCACATGGAGAGACTCTCTGGGGCAGGCGGTTATGTCATCCGATGACTCAGCCTCTCTGGCTCTTCCCTTTTCCTCTCTCTTTCTCTCTCTTTCTTTGTCTTGTTGTTTGCTTCATGCAAGTAGCATCATAAGTGCCAGTGAATGGGTTAAACTAGGTCCCATACGGTACCATACCCGTCCCCTCCCCTTCCCTATCAAACAGGTACCGTACCAGTAAATTGAGGTTGAAATTGATATCATACGCTCGGGCTAGGTTCTTCCTCCCGGATCCTCTTTCGTCATCCGCAGAAGCGTCAGCCGAACTATGTACAGTAAAGATGGCGACAGAGCGAATGAAAAAAAAGAACTGTTGAATAAATCAACAATTTTTTTTTAAAAAAATAAAAATTAATGGAGACTAAGCAACATGAACAGCGATATGGCATGTACATGTCTGTAAGGTTACTCGTACTTCTGTCCCGATCAAGTACAAAAGTACATATGCAAAGCCTGGGGAAGTGCCTTACGCTACGCTATGTATCTCGGCGATCTGGATATCCCGTGTCGGTACTCCGTACGGAGATAGACAGGATCTGCTTCTTGTAAAAGGAAACCAGAAACCCTCCATGACCGGTTCCTTGACCGGGCAACTTCGTTTCGGACTCAGGGTTTTAAATTGCTCTCGGCAACCATGGGCACGAGACGCCACTCCCGAGATAATAAGAGATAATAAGCATGATTAGCATTATCTATGACATGTCGTGGAGGTCAGAAAAAGAAAATGGATAGCATCAATTGAAAATCAATTCGAATCAAAATGGACTAAGTAGCAGTAGTACTACATGTAGTGTGTAGTAGTACATCAGCATGTACAGAGTTAGCAGTGCGACTTTGGACCGTCGTACAGTCATGGGCGAATCAAAGTGTCTGAGACTGAAAAGAACCTTTGCTGCAGGGGTTGAAAAGCGAATTAACTCAAGTCGTGAATTTTGATCAGGACTTTGGCTCTGCAAGTGGACTACCCCTCGTCAGCAATTTCACCCTCTCTTCCCCCCGCCTCTTCATGTATCGTGTCCTCATGTATGGTTGAACGACAACTCGACGGTATACGGATGTAATTATTTCTACAGAATAGACTGGTCATCATCGCGACAGGTTTATAATATCCTTGTGGATCATTCTCGCCTGTCACTGGCCCACCCGAATCAATCCACTTGCACATCAGATCCGCAACGTGGAATGTCCCTTTCATCGCCTCGCTGTCGCACTCGGTTCATCTCTTTGGTACCAACGCGGTCTCTCCTCGCGTGTCGCGCCCTGCCTCTTCACATTTTTTAAGTTGGGTACTTACTCTATTTCTCAAGTCTTTCAGCCTCTGGACTATTACCTATTGAGAGTGGATCTCTCATATTTTTTGGGTTTCCATTGAGACGCGCTTCCCGAACGGTACCCTTACGCTGCCCTTGCTTGATTCTATTATTGTTTTTTTTTTTTTTTTATGCTTATGATTTTAAGATTGCACGCTGGTCATTTATCTTAAAAAAGACGGACACACACGTCTGTGGTCTACCTTTTTCTTTTTTTTCTCTCTATTTTTTCTTCTTCTTCATATTGCTGTTGCCTTCGGTTGGACCGTAGTGTCGAAACTCGACCCTACGGATCGGATCGCCTTGCTTTCGCTATGCGACGCCAGCATTAACTCTCCTGGACCAATCTTATTCGAAACAGTCTTGGTATCATGATAATACACCCCGGCGGCCCCATAGTTTGGTAATAATATTCCAGTTTTGCCAACAATCCGGTGACCAACAACGTTGTGATTTCCGGCTTACGGTGCAGTTGGGCTCTTCGGTCAACATGCCCGGCATTGCTGGCACGTCTCCCGCCTCACTAGAGCACTTGGGCCGGCCGCTCTTCAGGGCCCACAAGGCACTTCCCCGAGGCCAAATGGCGATCCAAGTGTACATGTCATCCACGCGTCTCCATCTGACCCCATCGTTGACACTTCAAATGGCGGTGCTCACGCAACGGCGCCCACCCTTCCTTTAACACCCCCTGGTGTTCCTCCAGATGAATCCCCAACTCCAACAGAGCGGGAAATACAAAAGCTCGCCTCGCTGCACTCCATGTCTGGAACAGTGACACCTTCAAAACCATCGCACCCACCAACCCCCGAAACAACGCCGCCTCAACTTCCTGCCACGACGCTTCGACCGGGATTTGGCGGTCAATTCCGGCAGGCTTCTTCCTCGTCGCGTGCGGAGTCTTTCCAAACAGCATGCGAAATGATCTCCGACGGTGAGACCGAGACCCCTCACCGGTCGTCCCCATCGTCGCGTCAGTCGACCAAGCAGAGGTCACTGCAAAAGAGTGTTCAATCAGAACCCAAGAATGCCCGGCCGGAAGATACCACATCTGTCGTTGACCACTCCGATTCCCTCTTATTAAAGCCATCCCGGTACGAAGGTATTAACGGGGAATGGGCAACGGAGAACACCGACAGATTTGCTGCATCGCGTCAGAGGCGTAGGCGCTCAAGGAACCATTCCTCCGATACTCCTACCGCAAACGTGCCGGAACAGCCTCAAAATACGTATAGCACGAGTGCGCGCGACCTGGAAGTCCCACGAACACGCGAGAGGAATGTACGCGTTCGAGTCCGGGATGCGCAGGACACCGGCGCCAGTCCATATCCAGAACAGTATTCTGAAAAGATTGACTGGAATACCCCGGAAGGCCGAACGGATTCCTGCAACAACGATGATTCTCGCCGATTATCGGGCGTATCCACTTCCTCCACAATCGAGGTGATGATTGTTGACACACCCGAGCCGTATAAACCCTCCCTTCGCCATACAGAAAAGAGGGTTTCGCTGCGTTCGACCAGCTCTCCTATCACCAGGTCAGAGCGTGGATCCCTAGTCTCGAACCCAGATTCGCAGCACCGCTTGATTCACAAGGCTGCTCGTATCTCAGAAAACGATCGCAGAAGTATCGCATCGGAGATATCCGTCTCTGAGAGCTCAACTCAGGGTGGCCTTCGGCAGCAGGTGGAGGTCGTTCCGGTCGTGGTGATTCCAGAGCGGCATTCATCTTTAAAATCCTCAGCCTCGACCAGTAGAAGGCCATCCAACGCCAGCTCTCAGCCATCGAGCCGCCGAACACGGACAAGATCGGGGAGCAGACCCGAGTCGCTTGATCGTCCTCCTCAAAAGAGACGTACTGTGTCAAATTCAAGTGCGCCCGCCCATCAGGACACAGACTCCCGGGGTCGCAGCATTGGTCGGCCCATTATCCCTCCACGCAGCTCGTCATTATCCGCGCCGACCAGCCAGAATAATTCACGAGCCACATCCCTTACATCAGTGAGCTCGCGCAATTACCCGTCGGCGGTGGAGACCGAAAAGCAAAACCAGCAGCCGGAGCCACCGACGCCTGAGCCTATGAAGGCACCCCAAGTATGTGACCGAGCTGATGTACTGAAGACTCAGTCTATTCTTATCGGGGTAGAGGACATGGCCAATCTACGCTCACCGTCAGGGGCTTTCACGCTAGGGTCAATCCCGTCGTCATCGCCAGGGCTAGTGGAGATTAGTGAAGCTACCCTGGTGCCTTTCTTTCCACACAACAATGAATCTCTACTGCTGGTCGACCCACAGCACCGGCCTGGACCTCAAGGGCTCGCAATTCGGGTGGAATTCCAAGGCAGTCCGGCAAAGCCAGAATTTCCTCAAAGTCCAGGACAAGGTGAGGTAGACTCCCCACTGCAGAACCCGCGCCAGCCACCGAATCCTCCAGTGTGTAAGATCAGTCCACCCACCCCGGTGAGTGAGGCAGATCGTGAGCCTGAAAGGGGCACGGGAAATGGGGAGACGGGGGAGCAGCCCCCTCGCCGATTCGGGTCAGTTCGACGTCCGTGGAAGCTCCGACCTCGTTCTGATTCCTTCAACTCCATCGCCCGATCATTCTCGGTGACGTCGGCGAAAAACCGCATGGCAGGGAAAGATATCGACGGCAAACTCCACCCGTTCTGGAGGCCTCGTCGGTTCTGGGAAGATACATCGGAATCCGAAGACCAGTCCCCTCGCGAACAGGCTTTTCGTTCTCCCGCGTTGGAGGCCGACCAAGTCATTAGCAACTCGTTGGGGATGCCTCAACAGCGGGTTGTGTTTCAAGGGCCTCCGATTTCTCCTCGCAGTATTGACTCGAAACGGTCTTCCGATGAGGCGGCTTCCCGTCGCCAGGCCCGCGACAGTCTCGTGGGCAGTCGAGTATTCATGCCTGAGGCGTTATATTCGCAGACTTCTCTTCACCAGCGACGATATCGCTCCCTCTCATGGTGGCGGCTGCGGCTTCGGTTTGGTTCCGTGCGCAGCTTCCGGAAGCGCTTGAGACGCAGCTGGCAGCAGCGTGCCGAGGGCAAGCGAGAGGCCCGACGTGAGGCACTGAAGCAGAGCATTGGTGAAGCTGTCCTCGTGGACTCCAGCACGCAGACGCGGAGTATGGTGCGGTAACTTTTACGATATGATCGATGATGCACGAGTAAGACCAGCACGACACGACCAACATGATGAATGACGACCACACATGAACGATCTATGTCTCTTTTCTTGTGCTTTATTTGTTATTTCCTTTAACATGTTTATCTTTCTGTTGCAACTATATTGATGCTTGATGAGTCACGAATGATGGACCCACGGAACATGAGATCCAGCATGATGATTATTCGGGCGCTGTGATACTCCGCAAGATGTGTGTTCTCTGTATCATACGCCTACGTTGATGAGATTATAAATTTGCCCTTTCCGAGACTTACAAGATAACAATACACAATCATAACGTATATATATTGACTCACGTCCCTGGAACTCCGAACCCTATATAAAAGAAACATGAACAAACAAGAAAATATCAAAATGAAGATAGAGAAGATAGAAATGGAAATCACTTCCACCTCCCCATCCTCCCCCGAACAGCCATCTCTCCAAACTCCGCCTCCCTCGCCCTCTTCCTCCTCAACTCCTCCTCCTTCTCTTTCACGTAAACATCTCCCTCCCCGACCCCTTCACCCTCCCTCCGCAGCCGATCCACCGCCTTCACGTTCGCCCACAACGCCGGATCCAAGAACGGCTGCGGACGGGACGAGAAATCATACTCGACAGTCGTAGGCCGAGAGTTTAGCTCCACGTGCTGATTCTCTGAGTTAGACTTGGCCTTGGATTTGGATTTGGATTTGGATTCCGCCACGGTCGATGTGGACATAGAAGTTGATGTTGAACGAATACGTATCGGCGGGAATGTAGCGGTCGTGTGAGAAAGGGTGGGGTTGTTGGGGCGGGCAAGAGGCCGTCTGGAGGGGACTAGAAGTGTGGAAGACGGCCG